AAAAAAAAAAAAAAAAAAAAAAAAAAAAAAAAAAAAGCCAGACGTAGAACAAACTTAGCTTCTCAGAAAGGCCTTTATGCCTTTAGTGGTGTCAAAGAAGGAGGAGGGGGATTGGAGTGATGACAGTGATAATGGATGAGGACAGAGGCAGCTGTCTGAACAGGTCTTTGAGGTGGAACCAACTTTCATTTGCCTTCATGTGTCTAGGACCTCACTGATCCTTTGGGTGTGTCTAGTAGGTTCTTGGACAGTGTTGGTTAATCACCTCAGTGCAATGGGAAGACATCAGATGCCATAGACACAGGTGCCTTTTGCAGAAGGCCTTGGAGTTCTAGCTATCAGGTGTGGTAGCGAGACGGTGGCAAACTCTTGTGCCTCTGGGAAGAGTTTCCCTGCGAGGCAGCCTACTCCCTTTGGTTTTTCACAACTCTGCTTGGCTGTGACCTCTGCCTGCCAATTTGCGTAACTACTTTTCTCTGGCTCCCACATTATTTGTGCCTGCCTAGATTTCAGATTTCAGGTTACCCTGCCCTGCATGGTTTCTACCTGTATCGATCCAGCCAAACTATAATTTCTCTAAAGGTATTTATTTTGTGCTCACAGCACCCAGCATTATGCGGTGGATCAGTCTGTTTTTTATTGAATTATCAGGTGTTTTATAGAAAGAATGTTTTGTGATAGTTGTGGACAAAAGCAAGAGGCTGCTGTCTCCCCACCACGGTCGCTTCTGTCCAGGACGTTGTTACAAATTGCTCACCTGAGGGAATTCTAATCTGGAGTTATTTTGCCTTTCTCCACATTCATTCTCAGGACATCAAGTTCACTTGAAATTGCATGACTTTTTCTGGAATGCATTGGCAGACTGCCTACCTGTTGTCTAATTATTTACTCTGTCTTTCTCTCCTGCCAGTTAATAATGACATGATGGCCACTGAAACTAATGGCGCAGTCAAGTTTTCACAACTCTGCAAATTTTGTGACGTGCGATCTTCCACCTGTGACAACCAGAAATCCTGCATGAGCAACTGCAGCATCACATCCATCTGTGAGAAGTCACGTGAAGTCTGCGTGGCCGTATGGTAAGGGAGCCTTTTAAGGATTGTTTCTTTCTTTTTCCATTTTTAAGGAGTGTATGCTTGGCTCATGTGTCTCCAACCCCTAAGCCAGTGATGGCAAACCTTTTAGAGCATTCAGTAACAAAGGCCTGGCTGTGGTACTCGTGCCGGATTGGCATCTATCCCATTTTCTTTTTATTTAGACCGTTTCTCTCTTTCAATGATTACATGTGATTTCTAGAGACATTCTGTGCTTTTAGTTTGCGTGTTTGTATAAGGTGCCTTTCGGTGTTTAAAATAAACCTGGAAATTCTTCCTTGTATCAACAAGTGTGATTTCCCCTTCTTAGTTATCTAGTACCTCCTCGGTACTTCATAGTGACTCTGGAACTGTCTTCTTCTCAGGCAATCTCAATTAGCATGATGGAAGGGGAGGGGATAAAAGGTTGGCTATTCGGAAAGAAAAACTGCCAAAATAGAGAAGTCACTGGAGAAGTAAGAAAAACAGCCTGTTACTTAGAAGCCCTGTGGTTATTGTACCAGTTATTATTGGGCTACAAATGCCCTCTTTCTTCTGGATCAGAGCTACTTATTTCTCCTGGATAAGATTCCCAGCTCTTCCTTCTTTCTCTCTTTCCCTCTAACTCGCCTCCCTCCCACATAGAAACATCTCAAACAGTGCATTATACATACACTGTGGGCACCCATGAATCATTATGTTAATTCACGGTTGTGGATCAACAGCATGAGCATGAGATAAATAACCTTGATTATTAAGAGTCCCAGTTTTATGAAATGTGTAAAGTCGCTAACAGGATTTAGCATTTTGCAGATTTTTTCAAATGTTTTGAATATAGCAGCTATATATTGTTTATACAGCTCCTGGCTGATTTACAAACAAGAAAGTAAACCCAAATATTTTTTCCCCCTGTTTGTGGAAGGAGCCTTTAAGACTTTCTCTAGACCACAGATTTGCCTTGTTGATAGGTCTGGAAATCCAGTAGATTTCCATTCACACTGGAGGGCAAGGAGGTTACTTACGAACTAAAGAAATACAAACAGCAAAGAACTGTGACAATAGCTCAGTGTAGGTGCTAACTTCATGCATGTCCAGTTCTGGGTAGTGCTTGTGAAAAGGGAATTTTTGACAGAGTGTATTCCAGGGAGAGGAACAAATGTGAATGGGTATTTTAAAAGCATGATGTCTGAGGCATGGCTGAGGCAGTCAGATACAGTTAGTCCAACCAAGAGAGAACGTGGGTTCTGCTGAGAAAAACTGAAAGTCTATTGGGGGAAAATATAATACACTCATCCTGCTGAACTGGGAAGGGTAAAGGAAGACCTGTAACATTTAGAGCACATATTTTTGTGTTCAACGTAGGTTTAAAGCGTTTCAGAAACATAGTTTCCCAACACCAGACCAGACTTCCTTCTCTGGAAGTGAGATTAATTCCAGAGAAGCCTTATGACTTGAAGAAGGAAGAATGAGACTGGACTCCCTGCCGTCAGTGTTTCCTTCTGTGGCTCGGTTCTCTGCCGCTCAGCTTTACTTGAGCGCTCAGCTTTACTTGAGTGCTCGCCGTGGTGCGAGAGCCTACTTTTTCCCTGACACGTAAACCAAGTCCAAGCGATTGAATGTGACTATAATTGCTCCGGGATAAAGGCTTTGCTTGTTTCAAAAATGGTGAGCACATTGCACAGAGGAAGGGAGAGGAAGTCTCTCTTTCTCTCTCCCTGGCGTTAAACTATGAAGGGAAAATGCAACGAACACTATTTTTTTACATAATGTTTTATTAGTACATGTTTGCAATTCATGCAGTTTACAACCATCTTGGGGATTGTTTACATGTACATATTACAGCTTGTTTCTTTTTTTAAATCCCTTTCCTCTTTCCTTTCCATCCCTGCTTTCAATTCCTTTTGTTTTGTTGTGTTGTGTTTTGTACCGGGGATCAAACTGGGCCCTTGCATTTGCGAGGCGGGTGGCAGAACCACCAAGCCAAATCCCCGACCTACCTAAACGCCACTTTTAACCTGTCTTAGCTAAGGCTAATACTCCTGTGGAGTGCGAGTATTCAAAATGAGAGAGGAAAGTGTGGTGGATTCTGCTGCACACCTCCCAGATCCCTCTTTAGGATGAAGGTGCTCGCTTCCTGAAGGTGATGGCTGCTGAACACCAGCCCTGAGTACCTCCACGGATGTCTCCTCCACAGACAGCAGTTAGTTCCCCCGTGTTCCGTCCTCCTCATAAACAACCATCATCCCATTTCTGGCTGATGCAGGGGAAACAAATTACTGGCCAACTTGACCTCCATTTGGGATATCTCCTTAAGGATTTTCCCAGCTTCAGAACTTCTAAGAGACCGACTGAGGCCTCAAGCTGTTTTGCAGTTCATCTTCTTCCTTTTGCAGTATTGCTTTCTGTAGTCCCTAACAAGTGCCTCTCCAAGTACCTTTCGCTCAGAAAACTTACAGCCTTAACATCTGTTTCCTGGAATCCCAAACTAGATAGCAGGTTGTTTATAAAATGGCCAAATATGGAAACAAAGGATCTACCACAAAGTGGGTTCCAATGCTTCTGCTGGTTTTAGTGTTGTGTTCATTCACATTGATTCATTCAGCTAGCATCAGATGTATGACCATTCCACATAAAATGCTTAAGCCTCTCCTAAGGATAGAAATATTTTGGGGGAACCAAATTTAATTTCCCTGCAGTAATTCTTGCAGTAGATATTGGCAAACTGTTTAGTAGCTCAGTGCAAGCATTGCAGGACAAAAAAAGAAGTCTATATATATTTCATTGTATTTTCTTTTCCTGTGCTCTATTTCACTGTGCAGAGATGTTTTGCAAGCTTAGTTTTGCCTGCTAAGAAGCTGTTATAGGAGTAAGTGGAGAAATCAATTAAGGCGTTATCCAGACTTAAATATTACAATAGTTTTCTCTTTGCAATTTTAGTTCGAAGCAGCTAGAAGATGGAAAGTTTTTACTCTCTCTTTTCTCTGAAAAACCTGCCCAGTGGTTAGAGAACAGCTTTTTTTCATGGTTTACAATTCGTTTGTTGGCTTCTGCTTCTCAAGAATGAATTTCCATGATTTTTTTCTGAAAGTAAATTACCCCAACAAAAACCTACACATAGATTCATGTGCGCACACACACACACACACACACACACACACACACACACACACACACAAAATAAAAAACAGTTCCATGGCTAAAGTCTCTGCAAAGACTGCCCAATAGCTTTGAGTTTAAAGATGGGTAGGTTTTTAAACAGGCACAATGGAGTACTGCTCCACTATAAAGAAGGATAAACTTGATTCATTTGTAAGAAAATGGATGCACCCTCGAGACCATAGTGTCAAGTGAAATAAGTTAAGACATACGAGCTTAACTTTCTCTTTTATGAGAAACCCAATGTATAAATAAATTTAAGAGCATGGGTATAAGCAACACCGGCTCCATTCCTGGTTCAGCTGCTCTACCCCTCACACTTCTGCTTTGATTGCTGCCTTGTTCACTAACTATCCTTTAGTGTCCTTGCATTAAACACAAAGAAGATGGTGCCCCTTGAAGCTGCTCGTCCCCAGAAGCGAAAGGCCCCACTCACTGGTTTCTAGGTGAAAGCTGTGAGTTGACAGCTTCTGCTTCCAGCCTGCCTTCTGTTGTCCTTGCTGTGAGGCCTGAGTTTGGGTGTATTACTGAGCACGTGTGTATGACTGAGCGTGCACGTGTGTGTGCTCATATACACGCACTAAGAATCCTGCTCTCGCAGAAGATTACCCTTGCAGAGGTGACTGGACCTATCACATTGTTAAGGGCCCAGTTCAGGTTTCCCTGCACTTTCTCTCTAGGTACACAGACTGCCAGTTAAGGCGATAGGCATTTTGTATCTGAATAGGCTGAGATGAGAAGGAGATGTCAGAACAGCCTTTGTGTTGGATGGAATCATTTCAGAAGGAATCAGTGTTCCTGTGGGAAGCAGAGGCAAGTGTCAGAGAGGTAACAACCTCTTCCAGGAATGCTGAAGTTTTATTTTTACTTTTTCACTTGTAATAGTGGGCGCTCATCATGTCGCTTTTAAGTGTCATCTACACGTAGACCCAAGTAAGAACTTCCTAGGACCCAAGGAGAGTGCCATGCGAGATGTTGGCTGAGCCCTTAGCTGAATTAGTCCCAAACTATGTGATCCGGAGGGTTACTAAATGTAGAAGTAATTAGTTTCTGACAGTATAAAATATTTTGCTGATCTGTGAATGAACACGCTGCAATTCTGCCCCATATTTTTTTTTTCATTCCTGTTCCTTCCTGTGATTTGAGAAGTTACATTTTTATCTGGGATGTTCCTTCTCAATTTGTTTGCAAAACCAGCTGCTGACGTGAATTACTCCCCTCACACATACGTGGCCCAGCAAACAAAACAGGGAATCTGCTACTACCTCTACAAGGTGTCCTGTTTGAAAACAGTTAGCTGGAGAGGACCTTGATGTACCAAATAAACTAAGGATGTCACGTGAGCCTTGCAGAACCCCTGGGCGGAAGGGTAAAACGAGCCCGAGTACACAGGAATCTTCTGTTTTCCCATTTCTCCTCTTTACAGAAAACTGTCATATTTGTAATCATAAATGGATTCCGGGAGTGAGCAAAGAAAAAACGGAAATGAGTATAGAAAGGACAGGAAATTGTGGAACAGAAACCAGCTGCCGTTGTTAGGAACAACTTCATGACCGGATCGCTTTTCTATCCAGAGATCGTATTTTAACCATTTTCCATTGCTCACTCTTTCCTCTCCTCATCGAACCCTGTACCCTAGGCGGAAGAATGACGAAAACATAACACTAGAGACGGTTTGCCATGACCCTGAGCTCCCCTACCATGGATTTATTCTGGAAGATGCTGCTTCATCAAAGTGTATTATGAAGGAAAAAAAAGTGCTTGGCGAGACATTCTTTATGTGCTCCTGTAGTGCTGATGAATGTAACGATCACATCATCTTCTCGGAAGGTGAGTTTTCTTCTCTTGGAACCTGGAGCCCGACTCCTCTGTATCAGTCTCACTTGAACCCCTTGTCTGTGGCCCTCTGGAGGTTCCTTCCTCCTGAGGCTGATGCTACAGAGTGAGTCTGTGCTGTGTTAGCGAGGAGCCCGTTCACCTGCCAGGAAGAGGTGCTCAGGGAGCAGCAGGGCCAGCACACGTCCTCGCGAATCTGGTTCACCACAGCCTCTGTTATTTACCCTCTGCAGAAAGTTTCTGTCCCCTGGAACGGTGATTCTCAAAGTGTCGGCCCTCGATCAGGCTCAGCAGGAGGAGCTCAGGCCCTCCTGACTCTCACCCCCCACCCCAGACTACTGAGTCAGACACTCTGGGAGTGGAGGCCAGCAAACAATATTTCAGAGAAAATTTGAGAGCCCTACTGTAAAGATTCAAAGGGGCCTGTTTGATCCTGGAGGGAGATTTTTTTTAAAAAATTATCCGAAGTGGTTTAGGATGTATATTCCTGAAATTCAAAAGGGTACTTGTGTTTGGCCCATTGGAGAAAATTGAAATGCAGCCACAAAATAATGAAACAAAGTTTACCTAAGAAGCCAGGGGGAGACTAGATACTAATCTTCATTTTGATGTCCAGCATTCACGCAGCTTGAAAAGAGAATGTACACTGTTCCTTCAATTTAAAAAATATTGATTCAGGGGTTTTTAATTACAAATGTGCTAGGTACATTTATAAAAATTCAAACAATCCAACAATGTGTGAAAAATAACAAAGGAAGTATAGTACATTTTTCTTCTCTTCTTAGTCCCTGCCTAACAGATAATCTATATTGACTTTGTTAGATACACACACTTCTGTCATTCACTGATGCTGTGTCCTCTCCTCCTTTTCTTTACTGTCTCCTCCTTTGCTTCCTTCTTTCCCTCCCCTCATCCATCCATTCATCTGTCATCCATCCTTCCGTTTATCTATCCCTCCATTCCACCCGTCCATCTTCAGTGCAAATTTTTGATCATACTATAAATGTTATTTTGCATTTTGTCAACCAACCACTTTCACTCCTCCATCTACACATCACAGCACATGCGGATATGTGAATTGTCTTTTAATCGCTGTCTAGAGTTCTGTGTGTGCTACCTTTGCTTACTGATTTCCCTGTTGACAGACATTTTAGGTGTCTCCAGTTTGCGGCCTAATGTTGCATTGAATATCTTTGAGGAAAAAACAGCTTGTATATTTGGGCCAATATTTCTTTAAGATAGATTGCTGGGAGTGAAATTTGTGAATCAAAGTTATGTATGTTTTAAATATGGATAACCACTGCCAAGTTTTTCTTCTTCCAAAAGAGACATCTGAGTGTATAGATTTGTGTGTACCCTCTCTGCCTGGACATTTTCATTTGCCAACATGATAGCAAAATGTTATTCTCTGGGTTTAGTAGCAGGCCAGTGTAAGATGTGGGAGAGGAAGGAGTCCTGAGCAAACAGCTGCCTTATTTACTCACACACACCACAGCCACTTGGCAAAGACACCATGTGGATGTTGATACCTCCCTGAACCTTTCACAAGCATAGTCATTGTTTCATTCATTTCATAATCACTTTCTAATGCAGTAAAGACCTTTAACTTGCAGAACCCTGGATTTTTGCCGTTTGAGGTTTGAGAGAAACAGTCGACTGCAGCGGTCAAGAACAAGAGCTGGAGATAGGTCTTCTTTCTGCTGTTTCTTGGCTCTGCCACCTTGAGGCAGTAACCTGACCTCAGTCCTCTTGTGCATAAAACAAATAAAAAAGGGGAAGCGATGTTGTGAGGATTCGAGAGATTAATACATAGAAAATTCTTAGTTGGTTGCATAGCTCATCGGTAGGACCCTTGCCTAGCATGCTTGAGGTCCAGGGTTCAAGCCCAAGCACTACTACAAAAGGCAGTTCACAGGTCACCATCATTGTCTGTTCTCACATGGGCTGCAAATAAAAAGCTTGTGACACATGCGTTTTTCTGAGGCAGGAGTCCCACTAGGCTTGTTGGTTGGCATTGCTCTTCTGCTGAGCTGTGGCCATGCCCTGCAAGGAAAGCTTTCAGACTCTTGCTGTCCCACACCCCAAGCATAGTAGAGGGAGGGGCTTGCTCTGCTTTAATCGCTGCCTCATCCAATTTCTCTGTTTACTGCACATGCCTTCAGAGGCAAGAGGGGCATGCCGAGTCTCGGGTCTCTAATCAAAGCTAACTGCTTTCCTGACACTGTTGGATAATATTACAAATTAGGCACTTGTTCCTGTTTTGACTCAGAATCACAGCAGGAAGCAGCTAAATAAAACTGGAATGACTCACAAGCGCCTTTCAAATTAGTGATTAGAGTCATCTCAATTCTGTACTTGTCAAAGCTTTCATTCTCCTGTCTTTCAGCAGAAAGCTTGCCCTGGACTATGCGGTCTTCTCTTTGAATGGCCAGTGCACTGTTGACCAGCTAGCTCTGATAACAGCACCTCCAGTCGGCTATTGGCATTCTGGGAAATGATGCTTAGGAATGTATAGCACCAGCACTAGCACAAAATGGATGCCACCTTGCTTACTCATTCTTCCCTGAGTGGAAAGACCACCACCCCTCTCCTGAACGATGCCCTTGTAACGCAGGGTGGCTGCAGAGCTGGTCAGAAGTTCAGGGCCTTGGGGCCCTTCGGGTCATGTGGCGTCAGCACCTGCAGGGTAGTAAGGGCCTCGCTGATTTGTTTGCACACTGAAGTGTGAAAAGCCCTGGTGTGGACTTGCCCAGGTTGGATGGAAGGAGACATAGGGATCTTATTAACATCACTCAACAAGCTTACTGAGCTAATCTTAGAGAGGAGTAAGGAGGAGTGAACCTGGTCTTAAATATGGTCATTAATTTGGAAATTAGCTAACTATGCTTTTTTCAGTCTGTTCATATAACAGGACTCTGCAGTAATGTGTGAGTCTTTTTTATACCACACAAACATTGTTATAATGAAGATCTGGATGTAGAAATGATAGAGCTCCTTTTCATAAACATTTGTCTTTTTTAAATACACCTTTTTTTGTTTGGATCAACACAGAGTAATTAGACTTATAGGGTACAGTGTGACATTTCAAAACATATGCAATGTGTAGTGATCAGACCAGGATAATTGGCATGTCTTTCCCCATAGACATTTATTATATCTTTGTGTTGGAAACATTAAAAATCCTCTCTACTGGTTGTTTTGGAACATTCAGCTAATTGCTTTCAACCACTTTTATCTGGCTGTGCTATAGAACATTAGAAGCTACTCCTCCTATCCAGCTGCACCCCTATATCAGTTAATCATCCTTTTTCCATCCCTCCTTTCCCCAGGTCTTTCTCAGCCTCTGGTAATCACTGTTCTGTTCTCTACTGTTATGAAATCCACTCTTTAGCTTCCACACGAGCAAGAGTATGTAGTTTTTTTCCTGTGCCTGAGTTCATTATATTTAATATGACATCCTCCAGATCCATCCATGTTGCTTAATTTCATTATTTGTGGTTGAGTAATATTCCACTGTGAATATATATATCACATTTGATTTATCCATTCGTCCATCAGTTAAAACTCTAGTTGATTCCATATCTTGGCTGTTGTGAATAGCACCTCGATAAACAAATGACTGCAGATTTCTCAGACACATTGAGTTCATTTCCTTTGGATGTGTATCCCATAGTGAGATTGCTGGATTGTATGGTAGTTTTATTTCTAGTTTTCTGAAGGATTTCTATGCTGTTTCTTGGTCTGTTTGTTTTTAGAAGTGCTGGGGATTGAACTTAGGGCCTCAGGCACATTAGGAAAGCACTTTTACCACTGAGCTACCTCCCCAGTCCCATGGCATTCTTCAAAATGGCTGTTACACTCCTGTGAGCAGTATCTGAAAATTTCCCTTCTCCCCAGCCCCACTAGCTTTTTGTTAATTTTTGCCTTTTTTTATAATAGCCATTCTAACTGGGGTGAGATGCTATCTCATTGTGGTTTTGATTTGTATTTACTTGATGACTAGTAATATTCAGTATTGTTTTCACATTCAGTAGACATTTAGTGTTTCCATAATCATTCATGTGAGCCGTGTAGGGAAGATAATTTGCACTGGACCCCAATCTCAGACTTTCAGCAGATTGGTTAGAAGGCCAGGGTCCCACCCCATCCTAACCGAAGTGCAGGGAAGGTGGTACTTGGCCCATGGCCTACGCTGGGCATTCATAGAACCACAGAAGTATGTTGGCTGCCAGTGGGGATGTGCTCCACTTTCAGGTGTGTTGTTTTGTTTCCTAGAGACATGACGTTTTTATGCTGAAATGAAACTAGCTCATTCAAACTTTTCATTTTAATGACAACAGTAGCATAGATTTTTCCTAACATCTCACAGCTAATTACCTGCTTTTGGCCACAGGAGAATCAGAGAATCTGTCCCCTCTTCAGGGAATACCCTTACCTTTCCACATTTCCGTGGCAGGTGTGTGCCTTCGTATCAGTGTCGCGCCCACAGGACCTTACCCAAGAGGCTACATACAGGTCTGTCCCCTGCATAGCAGTCCGCTGTCGTCATTTGACAAGTCCCCAGCAAGAGTGACAGTCTGAGCCCTGCACTGGTCCTGTATCTAGGGGGAATGAAGTCTGTAAATGATGGCCAGTGGGCAGCTCATCATTTGGGAAGACAACATAGGACAGGTTTAAGAGCGTGACTCTGTAGGATCAAATCCCATAAGATCCATTTATAAACTGGTTGTCCTTGGGTGAACCGCTTCATCTCAGTTTCCCATCTGAAAAGTGAGGAGGGGTATGGACACATTGAGTGCCTTAAATGGGGTTATTGTGAGGGTAAAAGGATATATTTAGTCAGACACGTAGAACATGTCCGGCGCAGAGTATGCATTCGATCCATTTTGACTGTAAAAAGTTACTTTTATTCCACTAGGCGCAAGTGTCTTATCTTTGGCTCTTGCCAGATGAGTGAAGAGCTTTGTTCCAAGGTGGTGTATTTTCCTCCTGCC